TTGGGGTAATTGGGATGGGTATGTCAGAGACAGTGCGACTGGCACAGGACAGAGCAGAGTTTAGGCCTGTAGTACACAGGGTCGCTATGAGTCGCAAGTGACTTGATGGCACATAACAACAACAACAACAATGGCTTAGTGTAAGAGGTTACACTACCAACTTAAAGAATAAGGTTCAAATCCAATAGCTGCTCCACAGTTGATAAAGATAAGCAATCTCCTCTCATGAAATTTATTGCCTCAGAAAACCCAGTGCAGGGTCAGCTACAAGTCAGTTCCAACTTGGCAATATATAATAATATACCGTAATTACTAAACAATGAGGATTCTCAAAAAAGTAACTATAAAACTTGCCTAACTGAATTTTGAAAGGGTTCTTTTTTCTAGCACTTGTTAGATTTTTCTACTTTCTTAATATAAAAGATACAATTTAACTGTTTTCCAAAATAAACAATTTAACTTTTATAAATGACCAAAAATTTTTGATGAATAAAATTTTTCTACTAGAATTTTAGTAAAATTCTAAGAGATTCCATTTCAAAAATCTTCAGTATTCTGCGCAATCTATATTCTCTAAAAGACAAGGTGATTGATGTAGAGGAACTAGCAAAGGGGAAAAAATACTACTGTGAGCTACAGTAGAGTTATACAAATTCTGTAAAACTATGGTTCAGATTAAAGAAAAATATGAAAGTGTCTTAAAAGCTCTTGTGGCTTGTTGTTGTTAGATGTCATCACATTGCTTGTGACTCACAGCAACCCTATGTACAACAGCTCTGAAGCCTGTCCTGGCTCCAACACATCTACCCTGATTGTTCCAGCTACTCTATCAGTCCAACTCATCTGAGGTGTTCCTCTCCTGCGCTGTCCCTCCACCCTTCCAAGCATGATGTTCTTCTTCAAGGACCAACCCCCCCGGCCACATGCCCAAAGTATGTGAGACAGAGCTTCTTTTATAATCCCTGCCTCCAAGGAGAAACTTGATTTCACCTTCTCCAACACAGAACTACTTGTTTCCTTGGCAATCCATAGTATGTTCAAGACTCTCCTCCAACACCACAACTAAAAGGTGTCAATTCTTCTTCTATCATGCTTAGTCACTGTTCAGCTCTCTGATGCACAGCAAGTAATTGTGAAGACCATGGCCTGGATCAGGCGCATCTTATTCTCTAGACTGACATCGTTGCTTCTCAGTACTCTGTAGAGGTCCCTGACAGCAGATTTTCCCAATACAATTCATCTTTTTATTTCCTGACTGCTGGTGCCTAGAGTGTTGATTGTGGAGCTGAGCAAGCCGTAAATGTTAACTACTTCAATCTCTTCTCCATCTATCATGGTGCTGTCAACTGGCCTATTGGTGAGAATCTTTGTCTTCTTGATGTTGAGCTTCAATCCATATTGAAGACTACAGTCCTTGACCTTCTGCAGCATTCTGTGCAGGTCCTACTTCAGTTTCATCAGAGTTGTGTCATCTGCATAATGCTAGTTGCTGATGAGTCATCCTCCAATCCTGATGTCACAGTCCTCCTCATAACCCCTCCCAAATGATCTGATGTGGTATGGAGAAAGGACACATCCTTGACAGTCCTTTCCTGATTTTGAACCATACAGTGTTTCCCTGCTCTGTTCTGAAGACTGCTTCCTGGTCCAAGTATAGGTTTCGCATAAGCACCATCAAGTTCTGGGATTCCCATTTTCCTCAAAGTTAGCCACAATTTGTTGTGTTCCACACAGTCAAATGCCTTTGCACAGACAATGAAACATAGGCATTCTTACGGTATTCTCTGCTTTCAGCAAAGATCCATCTGACATTGGTGATAATGTCTTTGGTTCCACAACCTCTTCTAAACCCAACACAATAACAATTCTAAATTCAATCAATGAAATATTCTGGCTAAAACAAGTACTTCTATTAAACACTAAAAAATAAAGTATGGTCAAAGAAAGTACATATATTGTTGTTGTGATCACATTCACTACTAATTAACCCTGTGAACAACAAACCTGAACACTGCCCTGTCCTGTGCCATCATGATCTCTGCCTTGCTCAAGCCACGATGGTAGGTAGTTATTCCACCAATCTAGATCATTAAAGATTTTCTCTTTCACTGAACCTCTACCTTTCCCAGAATGATGCCTCTAAGAACAGGTTCATCCTGAAAACGTGCCCCAAGTATGATGTACCTTCATCATTCTTGCCTCTTAAGGAGCATTCTAATTGCACTTCCTTCAGGACAGATGTGTTGTTGGCTCTTTTGCCAGTCAATATATTCACATTCAATACCACAAATGAAAGGCATTGACTTTTCTTCAGTCTTCCTTACTCACTGTTCAACTTTTAGTTGCACAGGAAGGAATTTTTTTTCTATAATTATATTTTATTAATTTTCATAAACATTTACAAAGATTTTGGGTTTCCATTCATTCACCGCTGCACCATTCTCTCTACCCTCCTCCCAGTTTGTTCTTGTCCAAATGCCACAGTGCTTGTCAAAGCCAGTTCTGATCAATCTTCTTTGTCAGTGTGTCCTTTGCCATTCCCTATCACTCCTCCCTGAGAGAGACTTCACCCTGAGTCATAAGGAAAAGGGGATGGCGTATTCTCTTAGCTACTTCCTGCTGAAAAGGGACGCTGTGGATTTCAGGGTGAAGATCTTCTCTCACTACTCTAAAGGGCCCCTTTGGCAGTAGGAAACACATAGACTATTATGGAGACTGATTTTGGAATTTAGATGCACTCTTATTGATTGTGCTTGGCCATACATGTTCATATCCTTGAAGATGTATCATGGGGGTGTTGCAACCTAGAAGACACAAATTTGACTAACAAGTTATAAGTACATGAGTCAAAAATTATGGAAAAGTAAAAGAAAAGATTCTTTCCTTGTTCCACAACCCCCCCCCCCAGGTCCCCTCCACCATGCAGCCCACGCTCTAGACTCGAACAGGAAGGAATTAAAAATAGCACCAAGGCTTTTGATCAGGCACACTTTAGTCTTTAAATTGACATTCTTGCTCTTTAATACTTTGGAAAAGTCCTTGACCGCAGATTTCTTCAATGCAAAATGTCATTTGATTTCTTGACTGCTCCTACCAAGGGTGCTGAATATGAATCTAAAGGGAAATCACTAATTTCAATCTTTTCTTCATTTATCATGATGTTGCATATGGGTCCAATAGTGAGGATTTTTGCTTTCTTAATGCTGACGTGTTAATTCATACAGTAGGCAATCTTTGATATTCTGCATCCAGTCCTTCAATTCTTCCTCACTTTGTTCAAACAAGGTTGTTAATGAGTCCTCTTCCAATTCTAATGCCTCATAACCTTTTTTTTCCCTCAGCATACAAACTGAACAGGTATGGAGAATGGATACAATCTTTTTCTGAGGGTAAAAGAGTAAAGACGGATTTGTTAGAAAGCTACATTCCAAAGGGACACAATCTTGACGTCTGCACTTTTAATGATTTTTAAACTACGCAGTTTTCTCA